TTTGTATATAATTCAAGTGGATGAAGTGTTTTTCACTACTCATATCACTTTATGTTTACATGACAAGGATGTACCTGTATTCATGTTGAATAAATATAATACTAGTTATCATTGCAACGAAAAACAATATAATCTTCTATTACACTTCAGACAGTTACATGCTGAACTCAACTGTCTTATGGCTATGGGATATGAAAAACTCACACCTTTCCCATTAAATATACACAGATTGATTCCTTTTTTGTATTATAATGAATAATAATCTTTGGTTACTGGATTTCATCATGAGCTGACATCGGTTAGAGAACCATTGGAAAACCCATCTGGGAGTACTGGACAGCCAACTGTTTCCGTTGTCCTAGTTTGGGACTAACCCTTCAGCAGTACGCACCCAACGACATAGTTTGAACCCAGGGCCCTCTGGTTACAAGGCTAACGAGCTCGAAGACCGTTAAGCCACTGGGACCTGATCCAATGGCCAGTCAGCCCATGAATTCTAACTTCTACCAATTCATGACATAGGGCGACCACTAGCCAGTGTCATCCGCGGCGAGTATTTGTCCTCACACTTGACCTGCTGTATCCTACTGGTCACGACTTCCCACTAGAACCCAGGTAACTACCTACCTGAATAGGGCCAGTCGCCAGTGAGCATCTCATCGACATTCAAGTACTGGTTTGTAGGGATTCGACTGATTGGTTACAGGATTTCATCATGAGCCAGTACTCCCAGATCTTACAATGGTTCTCTAACCAATGTCAGCTCATGATGAAATCCTGTAACCAAAGCTATTATTATTATTATTGTTAAATGGTCAGCTGTTAATTACCAGTGCTCTGCGCTTCAAGAAGAAGCTTATCTATGAGGAGCAAGACCTCTTTTTTAAACTTGTTACTGATGAATTTATCTAAACTGCCGAGAAAAATTTGGAAGATAAACCATCTAACTCCAGAAACTCAGTATCACATTTTAATATTTCAATTTCAAAAACATCAGTTAAAAGATAAAGACATGAGTTTTTTACCCATTTTAATAAATTATCGCTGTAGTATAAATGTACCATATTTCAGTTGCATCAATATAAATACCACTGTCACTTAAAGTTGTTATTTTAAATCTGAAAAAGCTACCAGAGTAAATTCTAAGAGAACATAGTTTTACAGACGAAGTGGAATTTTCAGCACTGAAACTTGTATGTCTTGTCACATGCAGGTAGGAATTATGATGCTGATTATATTATTATCGGTCTTTTGGGTTACGAATGGAACATAGGGTTTCAACAGCATATCTCCATTTTATCCAGTTCCCTGAAGTCCTCTTTGGCTGCCTCTACAATTGCCCATAGGCTCTGATATCCTCCTCACGCAATCTCCTACATGTCATCTCTCCGGACATACGCGCAAAATGTCGTTATCACTCGAGGGCCTTGTGGGTGATGGCATCAAACGGTCTTATCAGCGCGTGACCGATCCATCTCCATTTCCTTCAACACACTTGTTGTTAGTCGATGGGTTCTTGGTTGGTTCGCTCTCACAGTTTCTTGTTGCTGATTACCTCTGGCCATCTGATCTCTAGCATAGAGCCAGCAAAGGCCGCCTCATCCGAACTAATTGACGCAAGAAGATTGATTCCAGCGAGCTCCGATTATGATGAGGAGCGAAAGGTACTGAAACGAAGACTAACAAAAAGTCTTCGCAACGACCGTGAACAGTGGTGGGCAACAAAAGCGAAAGAGATGGAAAAGGCATCGGCGATTGGCAACACCAGACAACTATTCAGGCTTATCAGGGAAACAGGTGGCAAAAGGCAAATGATAAGCGAAACAATCTCGGAGAAAAATGGCACCATTATTAGCTCCCAGGATAGACGTCTGGAGCGCTGGAAAGAACACTATGAGGAGCAGTTTAATTGGCCCACAGCCACACTTAACCTGCCGAACATCCAACACCTCCCTGAATGGGATATAGACACAGGTCCTCCGTCCTTAATTGAGGTTACTAAAGCTGTCACTAATCTGAAGCAAGGCAAAGCAGCGGGACCTGATGGATTGACTCCAGAGGTATTAAAGTACGGTGGTGACAGTTTACTGTCTGCGTTAACTGAGGTTTTAGGCAGCGTCTGGGAATCAGAGGAAGTCCCATCGGGTTGGTGTAAGTCACTGATCATCCCGATATACAAGAAGGGAGACAAGTCTTCTTGTGATAATCACAGAGGGATTAGCTTGACTAATATAGTATCTAAAATCCTAGGCTCAATAATACTGCGTAGACTAAGTGGTGCTCTGGAGGCACAAACACGAGAAAACCAGGCAGATTTTAGGCCAGGTAGAGGGTGTATTGATCATATCTTCACCCTTCGACAGATTCTAGAACATAGGCATTCCTACCGGCGTCCGACAATCATTATATTTCTTGACCTAAAGGCGGCATTCGATTCTGTCGACCGGAAGGTTCTCTGGCGATGCTTGGCTGTAAAGGGAATGCCAAGAAAATACATAGCACTGATTAAGGCACTCTACTCGTACTCACGCAGCCAGGTGAGGGCTTATGGCGAGTTGTCATCTGAAGTGGTGACGACTAGTGGCGTCCGTCAAGGATGCCCATTATCCCCATTCCTATTCAACCTCATCATAGACGTACTAATGGACTTAACCCTAACACACTTCAGCGACTCAGGGATTGACTTGTTACCAGGGAATAATCTCGTTGACTTAGAATACGCAGACGATATAGTCCTTCTAGGCGAGGACGCTGACAAAATGCTGAGTCTTCTGAACACCTTGAGCAACAATCTTCATATGTTTGGCATGCGATTCGCCCCTGTAAAATGTAAGATGATGTTGCAGGATTGGACTACACCGACTCCTAGATTAGAAATAGGAAGTGAAGTGGTAGAGCACGTTGACCGCTTCACTTATTTGGGAAGTACCATCAGCCCCAACGGGTTGATTTCTGACGAAATCTCAGCACGGATACAGAGGGCTAGTTTCGCATATGCCAGTTTACGCCGTCTCTGGCGTAGACGTGATATCCGACTATCGACCAAAGGGCGTGTGTACTGCTCATCAGTCCGCTCCGTCCTCCTTTATGGCTGTGAGACCTGGCCATTGAGAGTGGAAGACATGAAAAGGCCTAGCTGTCTTTGATCATAGGTGCCTGCGTTCTATCTCCCGTGTGAAGTGGTATAATAAGGTGAGCAATATTGAGGTTAGGCGTCGAGTGCTAGGTAAGGAGGGGAAATCAATCGACGAGGCTGTGAAATTACATCGACTGAGATGGTTAGGACATGTGTTACGTATGCCTAGTCATCGCCTTCCTCGAATACGGGCAATGTTAGCTGATATAGGGTTAGGCTGGAAAAGAGCTAGTGGTGGTCAAACCAAAACATGGCACCAGTCAATGAAATCTACAACAGTTAGTCTAAGCCACGTAGGAAGGTGTAGACTTCCTGGTTGGGGTCCTCGGGACGGTAAAAACCAATGGTTGGAAACAATTGGTGACATGGCTCAAAATCGTTCTCAATGGCTAACGCAGATGCATCCACTCCTTGTGACTTATGATTTCCAATGAAACTGTTTTGTTCTTCGTTATTACTATTCCTTTGTCTCACACCTCTGTTTACTGTCTCTATTTTGCATTTCTCCTACTTTCTTCTCTTGCTTTGTGTGCTACATGGAGTGTGGCGACTTGAACTGCCGCACATATGTGCAAAGTTCTATGTCGAAAACCGACCGACCGACTGCCAGCAAAGGCAGCTCTTGATAAAAGTCTGCAGCTGGCTGCTGGAAATGCTTTCCGTGACGCGCCAAGGTTCTAATCCATTTACAAGACCTGATTTAACGTTGCTGTTCAAAATACCATTTTTTTTCCCTATTACTAAGTGCAGAAGATTTCTTTATGGATTTCGGAGTGACAAAAGTCTGTCTTGGCTTTCTGAATCCAGTTTTGACATCCTCATGTGTCTGTAGTTTAGATGATGCTGCCTAGATGAGTGACGAAAGTGACCCCATTCAAATTCCCCATGTTATTAGTGATTGATGATTTTCTGTTGCTGGTTGGTTATCTTCATCATGTCCATCCTCTCTATGTTCACTTGAAGTCCTGTCTTTACTGCTTCCAAAGCCAACTTAATGGTTTTTGCCTGTAAGTCTTCCAGTTTGTGACATTAGATATAAATATCGTCCGCGAAGTCGAGATCTTCTAGTCTTCTCATTGTTCCAACGTATTCCTACCTTCTCGCTCCCCACAATTAGAAATATCATCCGTTGGTCGTGCATTGAAGTTTCTGTGATGACTGGATTAATTTTCTGGGATATGGTCGCTAGCCCTGAGCCAAACCTTCCCTCTTCACCCAGGGTTTAGAACTGGTTAGAGAACTAGTAAACTGGGCGAGATTAGAAAAAAACACCATTTGGCCCACTGAAAACCAGGGAGTTTCTTCTTAGTTTGGGACTTTTCAACGGTATCTACCCTCCAGGGTTCGAAACCAGGAACTTTCAGTTACAAGACGTGCTCATGGATCAATTAACCACTGGGACTACGAACTGGCTAGCGAGCACCACTGGACTCACGACTTCCAGCTACTCATATTGTGGTGAGAGCTGTCTGCAAGCCAAACTACAGACAACAGTTTACGTCAATGTTTACGTCCCGAATCGGGGTCATGAGAAAGAACAAGAACAAAGCTTAACCTTGAGGAACTCAACAACCAATCACAGTAGACTTAACGTGTGCAAATACGATTCGCAGATATATGGCTTAACTTTCTAAGAAACGGTCACAAGCAGCAAGAAAACAACCAATCAGAAGAGATTGCTTCTCTGCTAACAATAACGCTAATAATAATGTACATAAAAATCTTTTGATTTTCTCAATAAACGATCTGTTGCCTGGCCTTTGTCTTCTGTCGTTACAATATCAATCAGTAGTATGTGTCATAATGCAAGTTGTAATGCTAACAAAAAAAATAGTGCCTCATGAATAAAAAAAACCCCAAAAAAGAGTATTGTAAAAATTGTATTTCATTTTTTTACCGTAAAAGCTCGTTTTTATTAAAAATTTATTCTGAACAGCAGTAAAATAAGAATAATAATAATGCTAATAAATAGCTTTAAAAGGACTAAACAAGAAAGAGCTTGTAAAATCAAGTTTTTTATATGAACACCTAAAAGAAGACGTGATAATAATAAAAGTAATATAGAGTTACCAATTCAAATATGAGTGACTTTGTTTAATAATAATAAGAAGAAGAATAATGATGAAAAACATAATTGTTTGAGAAAGATTGAGAAAGAAAAACCACTGAAGAAAATATTCAAGAAAATGAAAATAATGATGTCTATTATATTGACCGTGTCATCCATCTCCTCTCATGTGAGACAATATTGACTTTCACAGTTGTGGTAAAGTAAACAAATATATATATATATGTTATATATGTGTATATGTATAAAAGAAGTCGACCTAAAGTTAGAAAACAAAAGGATTGACTCACAGATCGATAGATAGACAGATAGATAGATCAATAAACTTCGTGTTTAACCGGTCAAGTGAATTTCAGAAGGTGGGGTGTTAATAATAAAGGATCAACAATTGTGATAAGATATTCAATGTTAATTGGGATGATGATATACATATGCCTTTATTTCTAAGCAGTTATTATTTATACTTGTGCGTGTCAATATTATTTATGCATAAATTCAAAAAACAAAACAACAACAACCACAATTGAATGGACTCTTTAGATGTACTACTCATCACTGTGAATAGAGTAGTCAGAAAAGAAGAATAAGTAAATAATATTAGTTAGTGTACAAAGTACATGATTAACTTAGTATTGATTCACAAAAGTGTTTTACAAATAATAATAATTATTATTAATTAGTAGAAGTGATAACTTGATAACACTGATGTTAAAGGGGAGAGAAAACTGCGATGGGAAAATGGAGAAGAAGGCATGGGAAGAAAATAAAAGCACAAGAATACAAGAGGAGAGATGACCACCTTTAAGTACTACTGGTGTGTGTGTATGTGGAATTGAAGGAGTAAACACACGTTAAATGCTTGTTAAATAATTCTTGACAATAATAATAGTAATGGAACTTGACTTAAAGAAACTTCACGCTTACTTACAACATTACTAGCATTGAGATTTATGCTCGAAGTGGCTTGATGGAGGGAGAAAGAGAGAGAGTGAAATGTATCGAAATGCACAATAAATACTGATGGATAATGAAGTTAAGAATTCGAGCAAAGCATAACATAACAACAAGGTGGTGTGGGTGGTTGGTTCTTCAAAAAACAAAAACAAACAACATTGTAAAATTACAAAATCAACAAAATATGCGGAGAATTTAAACTTCATATTGCAAAACGAAGTTAGTGCGACAACCACAACAATGAACAATTACAACAAACAACACCGACAACCGCTTAACTGATGTCTGTTGAAAATAGACTATAAACAAATATTAAATAAATAAATAAATAGGTATAAAGGATGGATACAGATTGTCGTATACAGAGATGAATATATATATATATATATTTGACTGGTTTTTGTTTTTTTAATGTGAAAATGCAATACGACTAACTGGGAAGCGCAACAACACCGGAGTGGTACCACGTACCGGGAGTAAACTTCGTGAATAACGATATATCATGGCTGAAACACTTGGATACGGTTGACTATATTCACCAAGAACATAAGCTCCAGTTTCAGGGTCTTGAGAGATTTTCATGTGTAGGACATCATTTTCGCGTCTAATGGAAAAATAAATGAAAAATGATGGAAAGTGATTACACATTTTTATTTGACATAACAACTAAACTAACAAATTGAAAAGATAGCAGCACACTTAAAGCTTTCGCATTTCTCAGTACACACATGAACAGTGACTACTGAAGAGCGATCGCTACATCAGATTTTCTTTTTTTACGAAAGGAATACAATCATATATTTACTTCTTAATGGAACTTCATGGTTGTCTTTTCAGTTCACTCATAACTGAGAAGCAAAAGCTATTTGCAAAAAGTTTGTGCCTGCCTGATTGGATTCGATACATCTTACTCAAAGACTAAGTATTTGAAGGATATTATAGATATTTAGTTAAATATCAAAATAACCGAAGGCAATTAACATAATTCGGTCAAGTGACTATAAATTACTACATTTTTCATTTCTCTGTGTTCTGAATGGAACATAGGCCTTCCAGCTTTAAGCTCTATAGTTTCAGTTGCAATGTTGTTTTTACAGGGTGGGGTTGCTAGCCTCACGCCTTTTTTTGTTTTCCTTCACGTTCCCAGTGAAACATTGGGCTTCAAGCTAGAGCCAGCTTGAAGTTTCTGGGGCAGTGGTGTTTATTTTTACAGGATGAGATTGCTAGCCTCATGCCCAACCTTTCCTCCTTACCAGCTTTATTTCTGACTTAGCGAGGTAAAGGAGTGCGTCAGCCGGGGATCGAACCCCGGACCATGTGCATGGTCGGCGAGCGTCCTAACCGCTATGCCACAGACGCCTAGCCTTCACTTTTTCCAGGCCAACTACCAGCTAGGCGAGGCTTAGGAGTGGTTCTCACAGGAATCAAATCCAGACCATGAGCGTGGCTGGTGGGTATTTTATCCTTGAACCATAGCCGCACAAATGACTATTTATTTTCCCCCAAACGACCGGATGGATATAATCTTGCCTTGGATATTATTATTATTGTTTCCTTTAGTTCCTAGAGGAACATAGGGCTTCAGCCACACGTCTCCATTGCGTTCGGTTCTCCACCAACCTTTTCACCTGGATCCACGTCTGCCCACATGCTTTCATCTCCTCTTCACATGACCTCCTCCCCCATGTCACCCTTGAACTGACGACCAACTCACCGCTTCCGATTCGGATTCCACTTGAGCGATGGTCTGAGGTGTGATGTCACTCACTTGATGGTTTGTTTTCTCAGAGTATGGCAAATCCTCCATTTCTTCCTGTATACCTTCCTGTTGCACAATTGGTTCCTTCTGGGTTGTTTCGTTCATTGCTGATCTTTCCTGGCCATCTGATCTTGAGTATTGAGCGAAGACAACTGTTGATGAAGGTTTTTAATCTGTTCGAAATGCTCTTCGTGACTAGCTGGCCAAGTTTCTGATCCGTATAGTAAGTAGCACTGACTTCACATTGGAGTTGAAAATCCGGATCTTATTTTTCATGCTGAGTGCTGTTGACCTCCACACAGACTTGGATAAATAATTCATTTCATGGGTGAAGAGTAAAATATACTTTTCGTGGAATGATTATTTTATATTTACGGTGATTTTAATTCGGTATTGAAAAGCCCACTAGTCTGAAGCTCACCAGTAACTTGCCACTGTAACAGAAACTTTGTTCTGTGATAATTGAAAAGATCGAGGGATTCTGAAAAACTGTCAAAAGTTACAGAAACGAATATATCACTCAGCGTCACCATTTAATTGTATCAGGAGAGGAGCCGATTGTAAATTTCACCTCCAGGAGTGGATAGATAATATGCGTATAGAGCAGAAATGTATAAGATATGATACAGTAAAGAATAACATTAAAGAGTTTAGTGTATGACACAAAAGCAGAAGTGGAATAGCTATCCGTTTACGCTACTGTGGAGTATGCTACTGACAAGACTTGTCAGTAGTATATAAAAAGACGTTCATTTTCATAAAAATATCAAATAGCAGAGAGGTAGATTTCACAGGAAATGAACCAGCGTTGTGGCAAAACGTAGGAGATACGAAAAGAAGACAAAGAAACATAGTACGAAGGGCAGAAGTAATACAACATGGAAGATCTGTGCAAATGACGATTTCCATATAAGGTGTATATAATTTCCCTATATGGAAATATCAATTTCTCATAAATATTCCGTTACGAAGTCTCTTGTCTTCTGCCGTTACACTACCTCTTGTTATGTTTTCAGGTCGTCTAGTACATGGTGTTATAAATACATATAATTTCCTAGCGCTTACTACTTATACAACCAAGAATAAACAAAACCAAGTGATATATACTAGTTGAAATGATAATGTAGCGTTGGTTTAGTTTTACAACAGAGGGTTTTCTGAATGACTACAAAAAATTTATGAACGAACTTCAGATTACGAATGCTAAATAAAAAGGTCTAGTTTTATAAGCACATTGCAAAACAAACTTTCGAGATATGTTATAAAAGAAAATTCAACTACTTGACACTTACTTTATCGATAATGAAAGTTCTGTTTTGCTTGTTTCACTTCTTCTTACAAGAAAACTACCAGTTGGAGTGGTTTTCAGTAATTTTTCAGCCTGTGATCGTGGCAGGTCATGATGAAACCATCTGATAGGAGAAAAAGAAAATAACATTGAAGTATAATTAAACACTGTTTGTTGACGTAATTGATGATGTACTAAGAACATATACACATTAATCAATACAACCATATACTGTGGCAAGTGCTACTTATAATCAGATATAAGTAGTATATCAGTAAACGAATTCAGAAAAGTAACAAACACTAGAAAAAGGCAATCGAAGAAGAGAACTGTGAGAAGAACGTTACAAACACTGTGCAGAATCCAACAAGCATCGAATGTGTTGAAATGATTGCAAATAAAGCATTGAAGATAAGGCATACCAAATTTATGTACCTACAATGCTTTTGTCCTAACAAACATTCCTTCGAGCCTTATCGATCTTTTCTTCTTTACAATACTATGATGCCATTTGATGGATGATGATAGGCAGCAGAACCCAGGATAAGCATTTCGTCCTATTTGGGACACATCACCTCGATGTATCTGTAAGGCCCCAAGTGAATGATCATGTTATCACTGAGACTCGAACGTAACACTCAATCAATGGAGAGAAAAAAAACTGACTTAGGTAAAGTTTAAAAGATCACTAGACTGAATAACAGAGATGAGATAATGTATTTCCTATGACAAGTCCTGTGTGTAATCAGATTGTTCGAAATGCGTTGCGCAAAACTGACTTAGACAAATAACAACTTTATACTACTTAAAAGTAGATAAAGTAGTCAGGGTCTTTCCTAGAATATTTCGTCATCATCATAATACTTGCTTATCAGATAATCAGTTTTAGAAAAAGCATTAGTAATAAATAAAATTTTCATATTTGAGTCTAATTAAGACATTAGTAAGTGTAGACATATAAACATGCTCATCAATCATCATTGCATTCTCTATGACACATTGTTTATTAGAAGTGTCTAGTGTTCTGCTCTATTCACATAACACTCTTTATAAACATTTACCAAAATATATGTAAATATATATAGAATGATAGTCAACTCCTGATTGATTCACTAATCATCATTCATTCATTCAGTAGGGGTAGTGTTAATGGCGTTGATTCAGCTGGATTGAGACATTCATACACACTCACATATAAATACATACACATTTACAAACATACACTTACTCTTCAATACAAAAAAGTGGCATTTCCTATTCTGGTAAGTCACATTTTAAGACTCTGAGGAGCTATAACAGTTTTGTACTTTTTTAAAATTCAGTACAGGAAAAAAAGAAGTAGGCAGAAACTGACTGACCTACATGGAAAAAAATTTTTTTACTGTACAACATAAGAACAAGAGAAAAGAGACCACCAAGAAAGAAAGATACGATACGTGGGGTGATGAGAATAAATACAAAAGTGGAGAAAAACAAAAGGTGGACAATTTGAAGAATTTCAATAATACCACAATTCACTACTAATAATAAATATTATACTATTGTGTCTATAGATTACCAAGATAATTAAATACCAATTCATCTAATAAGAAAGACAGAAAAGATATGGAGTTTACAGGCTGAAAACTAAAATCTTTTATACATCGGGTTTTAGTAAATGTCATAAGTATAATATCTTCATACAACTGGTTCCCTTGATAAATTTTGATAAAGAAAGGAAGACGAAATTTGCAGTATAAAATGATATCATTCTATTTCACAGGTTCTCATCAGCTGCAGACTACTTGAAATTTTATCTCTTCTCTACTACTACTCAAACATTAAAGTATGTTATTATCATTTATATAACCATTGTAATTTCAGGTAGTCTGCAGCTGATGAGAGCCTGTGAAATAGAATGATATCATTTTATAATATCTTCATTTACAAGACTCTAAGGTGCGAATCCACAAATAAGTATAATTAAGTTTCAATATACACGTTTGTCTATACAGACCTACGGACCTTCATCAATAGCTGTCTTCGCTCAATACTACTCAAGATCAGATAACCGGCCAGAAAAGATCAGCAACAGGGATTTCTGGCGATGAACGAAACAACTCAGAAGGAACCAATTGTGCAACAAATATGCAGGAAGAAATGGAAGTACGTGGATTGGCCATACTCTGAGAAAACAAACCATCAAGTGAGTGACATCACACACCAGGCCATCGGTCGAGTGGAACCTGAATGGGGAGCGGCGAGTTAGTCGTCAGTACGAGGGTGACATGGAGGAGGATGTCATGTGAAGAGGAGATGAAAGCATGTGGGCAGACGTGGATCCAGGTGAAAAGGTTGGTGGAGAACCGAACGCAATGGAAACGTGTGGCTGAAGCCCTATGTTCCTCTAGGAACTAAAGGAGACAATAATACTATTATAATAATACACGTTTGTGTACAAGGCTGTAGGAAAGTGAAAAAGTCACCTGGTTTATTTAAGACAGTGGAATACACTTCAAGTGATTACTTCCAAGCGTAATCCACGATATGTGAAGAAACTAAAGACTAAGCATTTGATACATACTCAGATGAGTGTTGATTTATTACTGTTCAGGTCTCAGTGGTGGCATTGGTTCTGTACAGTGAGTCAGTTTTATTGGAATAGCGATGCCGATTCGGGTTCGACCCCTAAAGGTGAACTTTATTACTAACTAGAACCAACTGGAAAAGCAAAAGAAATCAAAGACCACCTCTACTGTGTAGTTAGTTGTTTTATCCTAACTATGGATTCTTCAGGTGAGCACATCAATTCGGTTAAGTTGATATGCCACGTTGCTTTAGGAATTTGTTTCGGTAGTTTATTTGAGTTTCAGCCAAAATGCATATTTTCTTTCAAACTGAATTATCGTATGAAGTATGGTCAAAGTCTATGATCAGTTTTTTTACAGTAAACATTCCAATCAAAACTGTTATTTATGTTATAAATGTTTCACATTTCTCAGCATAACTTCTTACGGGATGCGGTTGCTAGGTTCACGCCCAACCTGCCCTCTCTACCAGGCGAGGTTTAAAAGTGTGTCGGCCAGGGACCGAACCCCGGAACCCCAGTTAGACAGTACTCTACGACTGAACCACCGCGACGCACGGCACGTTACATAATATAATGCATTTTTATAAATGATATGCTGCAACTGAAACGGAAGCATGCTGTACATGGTCACTTATTAATGAAGACTTTTGTAGTAAGAGCTTACTATGCCGTCGTACAAAGTGCGTCGGTGGCACAGCGGTTAGGACGCTCGCCGACCATGCACATGGTCCGGGGTTCGATCCCCGGCCACAGACGCACTCCCAAACCTCGATAAGCCAGAAATAAAGCTGGTAAAGAGGAAAGGTTGGGCATGAGGCTAGCAACCCCATCCTGTAAAAATAAACACCACTGCCCCAGAAACTTCAAGCTGGCTCTAGCTTGAAGCCCCATGTTCCACTGGGAACGTGAAGGAATGAAAAAAATGCCGTACAAATGGTTATCAATGTAGAGCAATGTACCAAACTACTTTTTAGTCAATGAAATGAGACACACGCAAATAGTGGATTGTTAAGAATCGGGAAGGCGAGAAACACATTCATCAACCTGAAACCAATCTGGAAATCTTCGTCACTCCTCAACATCAACAACAAAATGATTCGGATTTTCAATACAAAAGTCAAGTCAGTTCTTCTATACGGATCAGAAACTTGGCGGGTCACAAAGAATATTTCCAACAGCCTGTTGCAGACCTTTATCTTCGTTCTATACTCAAGATCAGATGGCCGGAAAGAATCACAAACAAGAAACTATGCGAACAAACGAAACAAGAACCAATCGCTCAACAAATATGCAGAAGAAAGTGGAGATGGATTGGACACTGGCTGAGGAGGCCGTTGGGTGATATCGCGCGTCTCGAGTGGAACCCGAAAGGGAAGCGGCGAGTGGGTCGTCCAAGGGTGACATGGAGGAGATCGTGTGAAGAGGAGTTGAAACAGCATGGACTAACATGGATGCAAGTGAAAAGTACAGCAGAAGACAGAAGCAAGTGGAGGCGTGCAGTTGAAGCCCTATGTTCCACTAGGAACCCAAGGGAACAATAATAATAAGATGTAAGTAACTAAGTTCTACTAGTCAGCCAAATCTTCATCTTAAGTAAGAGAAATCAAATCAAATGATGGATAAACGAGAGTTTACTATGAAGAATGTACAGTTCCCATTTTTTCTTCCTTTTATAGCGATTTTCAATTTTCTATGACAAGTCTGTTGGATTGTGGTAGAAAAAATATAAAGAAAAATCCCATAGGGCATTTTATGCAATTTGCTTATCTAATTCTTTCTAATCGACTTAACTGTCATCTAAAAAGCTGATTAGTAATAATAGTTGCAATAATAACAATCACTTTGTTCCAAAACAATATTTTTGATACAGAATGGGATTTTCGGCGTTTTAGTATTGCAATAAATTTAATGCCTATAGAAATGTCTTCAAAATGAAATAAATAACCATAGGAACTAATTGATGCTATAACGACATAACTGATGCAGAAAATGATACATGAATAATTGAAAAAATTAGAATTTGCGGTTTATCTTCCGCATAGAAAGTTGGTGAATTTAGTTTAATGATAACATTTCTTTTATGAAACAAGATGCCTGCTAAATAAGGTACGGATGAAGCTTTTATTTAGTTATGGCAGCATAAATTTCTATGAAACTTCCTTCCCTTTGTCGTGAAGAGACACAATGAGAAAGTTGTGAGAACAGAAAGTGTTTATCATCCAACAAAACAATTTTTTCGAAAGAATGGTTACTGAACAAAGAATATTCTTTTCGATAACCTCTTCTTCATCAGGTTCTACAGTTATACATACATTATAGTGAATGAATGAATTAGTGTTATGAACAACAATGTTGTTTAAATAACATCGAATCAATAATAATATCAATGGATTACAGTTCAACAGCATCAACATAATCACCATACACTGAATATCAGAAAAATTGGGAAAGATAATAATACAAATTGATGAATTTATAGTCTTCACTGAAGGCTAGGGCAGTAGTAGTGGCTGGACTGGCTTTTTCTGCATACAGAGCACCGGTTGTTTAAGGCGAATCGTCATAGCCTCTACTGTTTGGAGTATGAGATGCCTGGATGCTTTTGGTGATTTATTTGGTACCCGGTAGATGGTTGAGAAGGGTTCTTCAATGCTGGCTGACTTTGTGGCTGGCTGTTTGGACCAGGTGGTCTAATATCGAACTGTTGATGGTTTTTACTACACCTTAAACAACTAGTGCTTTATGTGCAGAAGAAGCAAGTTCAGCCACTACTACTGCCCTGGCCGGCCTTCAGTAGAGACTATAAATTCATGAATTTGTATTATTATCTTTCCTAATTTTTCTGACATTCAGTGTATTATTATGTTGATGCTATTGAACTGTAATCCATTGATATTATATTATTGATTCGATGTTATTTAAACAACATTAATGTTGTTAATAACACTATATTCATTCAATATTACGTATATATATAATATATACTGTAGAACTTGATGAAGAAGAGGTTATCGAAAAGAATATTCTTTGTTCAGTAACCATTCTTTTGAAAAATTGTAATGGGTATTTTTAATCAGTTGAAAACAGTTTTATCCAAATGCATGCACAAGTATGAATGTCTGTCAACAGCTGTATATCGATCAGTTGAGTCAGAAGCACACCTCCGAATTCCTAAGTGCTTTTACAGAGCTCCAGGTAATAATGAGGAGAAACAGAAAAGAACAATAACCAGAATATAAGAATTTATAAATTACAAAAAAGGCTGAGTTATACCAGAGAGTCTCAGCCTTCATATGTAGTAGGTCGAAAGAAGAATTTCTTGAAACGACAAACAAAACTCAGAAGGAAAGTTAATACTGGGACAGGTAATATTCGATTTGTTCTGTCCAATAGTGCCATCGATTTGTGAGACTAAAGCAATCCACAGAAATCTTGCTTACGCCTGGAACTATATGTTCAACAATTCTACATTTAAGCAGCTTCAGTTCAAGAATGTTTGATAGCGACAGTTGTTTAACACTAGATAGCAAAGTATCTACTCACACTACAAAAATCTAATGGGCGAATTGCCAGGAAAAACTATCCAGTAATATACTTCACTAGGAAAAGAGGCTGTTAAGTGAAATGCAGAAAGTACAACACCTTCAGGTACACCGCTTTTAGTAGGTCCTAAAGCACCTCTCTTCCTTTGAAGTAATTAATAAAGCAGCAAGACTATGATTCAAGATTCACTGTGTACTGTGGTAAGCTTGTTTAACAAGCGTGCCTTAGAGGTGTAACTAAAATAAGTACTGTATTCTTGAAATAGACAACGAAAGTGCTTCATCTAGGTTGGAAAGAATATGATAAAGTAAGACAGTAGTAATGTAGTGTGTGCTCAACAGCTGTCTGGTCACCTTCGCTAGCTCACCAATGTCCATGGGTTGTGCAGCGTTAACCAATTGTAGTTGCTGAGAAATGTAGTCTGAGACACTTTCGATGAACTGGGACGCCAATAATTGCGACTCCGACTCTTCATCCAATATGAGGAGTGCACGAGGTATTAGATTCGTCAGCTTCACCGCCAAAACTAGCGGGTCTCCGTCAGGTCCTAGCTTCGCGGCACGGAACTGCTGCATCGCCAGCTGCCTGTCAGTCAGGCTGTCGAACTCTGCCACCAATCATTCAACCAATACCTTCCAGGTCTCTGTCTCATCTGACCGCTCCACACTGTCGTACACCATCTATGCTCGACCTCTCAGCAGCGTCCTGTAGCACAACCGCCTTCACCACCGGATCATTGACACCCACCAACTCAGCGATGGCTTCGAAGTCCCTCAAGAAGCTCCGAATGTATCCTTCCTCGAAAGCAGCCGACCATGGAATCTTCACTGTCTGGAGGCAGCGATACCAACTGTAACGGTGGAAGTCGATTTGGTAAAGGAATGTTTTTTACAATTTAGTATCTCTATATAGGGAAATTATGTACACCTTATCTTCAACGCACTGTTTGCACAGATCTTCCGTGTTGTGCTACTTCTCGCCTTCCTTCATATTGTCTTTCTTTGTGTTCCTTTCACGTCTCCCATGTATCTCCGTAACGGTGAGTCATTTGTATTCTCTGACGTCAAATCTATCTCCCTGCTATTTGATGTTTTTATGCCGACGAACGTCTCTTTATATACTACTGGTAAATCTTGTCAGTAGCACACACCACAGTAAAATTCAAAGCACTTCCATGGCATTTATGACCAAATTATGTGTGGTAGCTGGAAGTTTTCAATAAAAGTTAAAGCACAAGCAGAGAAAAAATTTTCCCATTAATTTCTAAAAAAAATAGAATTGATGGTAATAAGCCCAATTGTTAACTTGAAATGCAGCAGATGAAGACCTAAGTACAAGGTACAATTTAAATTTTTTTCAAGTGACAGATATTATATATATTTTTTTAAATGATTTAAAAATATCTGTAAGTGAACGACACAAGATCTATGCACATTTTTGCATATAATATTCAGAAGTTATAAGTCTGACTTCTAGCAAACCAGGATTCCTATTCACTTAATACAACTGAATCTGACAGACCACATTCATAGAAAAGCTATAAGAACAATTTTTACGAGTTGATCACGAACTGATATCAGTTAGAGAACCATTGAAAACCAGGGAGTACTGGACAGCTGCTGTTTCATCCTAGTTTGGGAATCATCAGCAGTACGCACCCACCACCACCCAGGACCTTCCGGTTACAAGGCAAGCTCGTATACCATTCAGCCACTGGGACCCGATTCAATGGCCAGTCCATGAATTCTAACTTCTACCAATTCGTGATTTAGCGCAATCCCAACCATTGTCGTTGGTGGGACATCCATCCACACACGTGACATCTAATTGGACCTCACTGGTCACGACTTCTCACTAGAACTCCAGGAAACTCCATCCTGTAGCAAGTCACTAGCACATGTGTTAAAACCTCTACGCAATACTATAAGTGTTCATGTTAATTTTGTTTGAAATGGCAGAAACATTGAGTAATGACGATTTCACATTTTCTCTAGTTATTATAAAGCAACACAATAGATACAGTGAACGTCATTGTGTTTCTTATAAAATGTAGATGGATCAGAGACACTCTGGGCAGACTGTTGAGTTACATCGCTCAACAGGTCCTAGAGTAAAACTCTAATGGGAAACGGAGCGTTTAGCATCCGACGGTGACATGGAGGAGATCGTATGAGTAGTAGATGAGAGCTTATGAACAATCGTGGAGCAATCTGAAGATAAGCGGAAAAAAACGGGATGAAGTGGAGATGGACTGTTGAAGCCCTATGCTCTATTCGGAACCGAAGTGAACAATAATAATAATAGTAATAATGTTATAATAATCGATCATCAAATGTTATAATCAAACAAAAATGAAAGAGGCAAAACTTCTTACAATTGATTTTCAAGCTGTTCAGATATTGCTGTTGTACTGTAATGATGATGATGACGTTGTAAAATCTCTGATTTTTGACGTCCATACTGATCAACTGGAATGTGCATATTTTCATTATATCTTTTAGTATTTTGAAAATCTAAAACATCTGTAAAGTTCTCTGAACTAACAGCACCATTAGGTCGTCTTCTACGCCATTGAACAAGAACCGGTGGCCAGATAGAATTACCCTCTGGATTAACTGGTACTGTTTGACTTGAATTCTGATGAAAATAATACTTTGAAGGGATAAAACATCTTGATTGATCTGAATTTAAGCTTAACTGATTACATTCAATGCTGACATGTGAATCCGGAATGCGTTGACTATGTGAACGATTTACATTTGAACGATGCTTTTTATGATTTCCACTGGTTGATTCACTTTGTTGTTTCACTTCTGGTGGACCCCATCCTGAGTCTAAGGGGAAGAATACAGACTGTGTCATACTAGCGTCATAACTAGGCGCCATTGATTCTGTCATACAGGAATTATCAGAGTTATGCGAACGATTCCTTTGACGATAGTATTGTTGATGCGTAGAATCACCAGTGATAAAATGAGAGTTTGTATGAATAGGATTGTCTGATTTATGTCTATAGTGTATAAAAAAATCTGGTTGTTGTTCAGGAAATCCAGACGGTAAACTTGATTGTGTCATTAGAAGTATATTATTATTACTATTATGCATGTGAGTAGTAGACGGGATTCTAGAAGTTACATATTGTGTTTGCTCTTTGTGTGTGATTGACGGGGATAAATGCATAACACCTGTTACCTTATTTACAAATACAGGTTCTGCGCTGAATTGACGCTGAGAAAAATCACGACCTGAACGACGAACTGCATTTCGTGATTTACCTGATTATGAATTTTAAGAAAAAAACAATTAAGAAATCAACACACAATATCTTTCATGCAACATTTATTCATAAAGCTATCAATGATTTGACAGAAAATGGGACGTTTTGTCTTTCAAAACTATTTCCCTTTGTTTTCGCAATGAGATTATGAGATTATGTGAAATGCTCTGAGACACTATTGTGTTGCTCATATTCATCATCTTTTAGGTGAAACTCAGAATTTTTATAAAATTTTATAGGAAAATCTTTTAATTAAGCTGTATGAAGAATAAAATTGTCAAATAACTCCAAATGAGAAATATAAATTTACTTGGCTTTCTCAAGATCATGAACCTCAAGTATGTAGGATCGTTCACCAGACTTCAATGATCAGTCTTATTGGTGCAATTTAACAGTTCAATTTAAAGCGATGGTTCAACACCATTTGAATATAGTCGTAAGAATAGATGATGGACTGTGAAGGCAGTTATTCAACGATGATATTTAATAACGAATGGCGAATTGGCAGAAGTCAGAATTGATGGGCCATTGGATTCTTTCCCAGTACCTGAGTGGTCAACGAGCTCACCTTGTAGCCCAAAGGTCATCAATCCGATCCCTGGTGGAGTCACGAGTGAGTACTGATGAACAGCACCAAACCCGGAAGAAACAAATGCCCAGTACTCCCTAGTTTTCAATAGTTCCCTAACTGAAGTCAGTTAGCGACCAGTCTGGAAATAGTGAATCAGTTCAGGTTGAAGAATATTAGCCATTATATTCCCATCCAATAGTTGTGTGAAATTGTGCTCAATAAGTGGTATGAAATTCCTCGGTTTGATCCCACACACACATGGTTGTGAATGCCATCTGGAACGAACCAATTATCCGATCCTCCTTTGTCTTTAACGATTCACAAATCAACGTCATTAGTTAATAAAAATTATTAAAATTGCTTTTTAACGAGTTAACTGGTTCGTCAAATTTGAGACTCCCAGTTATAAAGCCCATTTTTTAGTTTTTTCTCAGTTATCAAATGTTACACTACTGAATTAAAGCGGAATCGTTGCTTAGCATGTTTTATTTTTATTTTTCTTAGTTCCTAGAGGAACATGGCTTCAGCCACACGTCTCCATTGCGTACGGTTCTCCGCCAACCTTTTCACCTGGATCCACGTCTGCCCACATGCTTTCATCTCCTCTTCACATCACCTCCTCCTCCATGTCACCCTCGTACTGACGACCAACTCACTGCTTCCCTTTCGGGTTCCACTCGAGCGATGGCCTGGTGTGTGATGTCACTCACTTGATGATTTGTTTTCTCAGAGTATGGCCAATCCACCCTCCATTTCTTCCTGCATATTCACTGCACAATTGCCACCTGATTGGTTCGTTCATCGCCAGAGATCCCTGTTGCTGATCTTTTCTGACCGGTCATCTGATCTCGAGTAGTATTGAGCGAAGACAGCTGTTGATGAAGATCTGTAGTTTGTTCGAAGTGCCTTTCGTGAGGCGGCACCAAGTCTCTGATCAGTATAGTAGCACTGACTTCACATTGGAGTTGAAAATCCGGATCTTATTTTCATTTTCATGCTGAGTGCTGTTGATCTCCACACAGACTTGAGAGTAATGAAAGCTTGCCTTGCTTTCCAGATCCTCGCTTTGATATACTCAACATCAGTTCCACCAGTAGTGGAGACGATGGTTCCCAAGGTAGGTAGGTAAAGGAGGTTGCTTCTTTCAGAATTCTCCCATTTATGCTGATTGTTGTCTGTTGTTGTTGTTGCTATTGCTATTGGCCAGGAATCTTCATCACCTCTGTTTTCTCTATGTTCACCTAAAGTATTACATAAAGTGGTCATTAGATATTTCAAAACAATCAAAAATGGCTTTCATCCAGTCGCAGTGTTTTTCCCATGAGATGGAGACACCAAAAATGAAAGTGATGTATTGATATAGCACGTTCTAGTAAAAGTCATGTAGTATAAACATCTACTGCTATCTGCTTTGTAGTTCTTCCGGATGGTAAACAAGTTTGAATTAAACAGAAGAGTTAAATAGTACTGAGACCAGCTGAATCCCTATAAATCCCACGACTGAATGATCACTCTTCCTGAATTACTGGCTAATAATAGCACAAAACCGAAATAACAAAGTACTCCATAAAAAGCTTAAAAGTTAAAATCCTCTCTGTCGACTTAGCAGTAGTGTGTTGATTTCATATGAATACGAAAAAAACAACAACACAATGTTGCTATCAGGTTTATTTGGCAGTAACTTATTCACTTTTTGAATACAAGTAAATTTCACCATCTGTTTACTTATTTTTCAGTCTCTATCCATCTATCTATCTATGTATCATCAAATCGTCCGAATCCCGGACCTTCGCATGTTAAAATACTTACGATAACAATAAATTGTTACTTTATTCTAATATATATATATATATATATATATATATATATAATGCATTCACCTGTCCGACTGTATTGAATTTTAATTATTATATAAACTTCAAAGAAGTATTGAAACCAGTGAATACTTTCAACTTCATTAAAACTAATAGTTAGTTGGTCGACTCTTTTAAATGAAATGCCACGTTAAGAAAAAAAACACAACATTACTGTCATTTGGGTAATATACACTGAATTGTTTAGATTGGAGGAAGTCTACATATTTGTGCAAGTTGTATATAATAATACATATTTTGTCTACTTATGTACTTACTACTGAAATAACAATAATTATCATAACGTGTACGAGTTCATTAATATTTTAAATAACCTTAGATACATAAGTTTTAAGTATTACTCGTGTATGTAGATTATTATTTTAAAAATAGTTACATTTTCCCCTCTTCATAATATAACTGTATTTTTTTATTTTTGTAGTAAGTTAAAGTAACTTGTATGTTGAAAGAGGGATTTTAAGAACCTTACTACCAAATTTTAAAGAGGGTGGAAGATAGATAGACAGAGAGAGAGGGGGTAGAATGCCGTTTCTTACAATTAACTGATAGTGGGAAGGAAGTCTTGTGTTGGCCTTAAAACTTGACTGACATATGCATGTTTTTAATCATCCCCGTATTAGTTAAACTCCTTTTTCTTCCCATTTCAGTAAATACAGTTTATTGGTTGGAGGATTTCACCATGAGCTGACAACAGTTAGAGAACCATTGGAAACCACCTGGGAGTACTGGACAGCTGTTTCCGTTGTCCTAGTCTGGGACACTTCATCAGTACGCACCCACAGCCAGGGTTCGAACCCAGGACCTTCTGGTTACTTGAAAATTGATCTTATGCTCACTAGCGACTAGTCCTATTCAGGCAGTTATCTGGGGTTCTAGTGGAGAGCCGTGACCAGTAGGGTACATTGGGTTGAAGGTGAGGCAGTAACTCATCGAAGAAGACATTGTGAAGTGGTCTCGCTATTTCATGAATTGACAGAAGTTAGAATTCATGGGCTGACCACTGGATCGAGTCCCAGTGGCTTAATGGTCTACGAGCTCGCTAGCCTTGTAACCAGAAGGTCCTGGGTTCGAACCCTGGTGGTCGGTGTGTACTACTAAAGCGTTAGTCTCAAACTAGTCTGTCGGAACAGCTGGCTGTCCAGCACTCCCAGGAGGGTTTTCCAATGGTTCTCTAACTGATTTCAGCTCATGATGAAATCCTCCAACCAATCAAACAAAAGTCCCTACAAAACCAATACTTGAAAATACAGTTTATGCTGAACATTTACAGTCTTTTAAGGTATGAACATAGTTTTCTTCTGGATCTACTAGTGTTCATAATGTAAAAACATAAACCATTGTGTTATTTGAATGGTTATCCTACTTTATAATTATTATATGATGATTATTCATTCTTCGGGTTCCTGGTGGTAGGACAAAGAAACATCTCCATTTCAATGTGTACTCTGTAGTATTTTTTAACTGAATTAGCAACAAGAAACTCTGGCTTGGAAGAAACCAACCAAGAGCCGATCGCTCAGCAAATATGTAGGAGAAAATGGAGATGAATGGATCGGGCATACGTTGAGGAGGCCGTCGAATGACATCGCGCGCAGTGCAGGCTATCGTTCGAGTGTAATCCCAATGGGAATTGACGAGTGGGTCGTCAGTGCGAGAGTGACATGGAGGGGATCGTGAGGCGAGGAGATGAGAGATTATGGTCAATCGTTGACCCAGTTGAAGAGGACGGCAGGAAATAGAACTAGTGGAGATGTGTTATTGAAGCCCTGTGTTCCACTCGGAACCCAAATGAATAATAATAATATCCCTTCAGTTTGTCTCAGAGCTCACACCGAATAGTTAAGTCTTATGTTGAGTGTTGCTGAAGTGTTATTCAACATTATAACTATTTTATTAAAACTATTAGCTAACTAATAATCAGACGCAAGAAAAGTATTATAAATAAATAAAAGGTGGCCACTTTACTTTTTTATTCTTCATACTATTATTCCATTTAGTTAGACCATTAAGTAAAGAAAAAAAGGTGAAGAAAATACTTCAGTTGAAATATTCCCTGTTTGTTTTTTGTCTTATGTTACTTGGCAGAGTGCAGTCATGAAAAAATAAGGAATATGAATTAGGTATAAGGAGCATAAAACTCAAGAGACCTTATATTGCAAGTCTGATCACGAACCAACTTCAGTTTGAGAACAACTGAAAATCAGGGAGAAGTGAACGACTCTTTGTTAGTATCTAACTATGACCCCACTGGAAATCGAACCCAGGATCACTAGGTTGCAAGGCGAGATCATCAACCATTAAACCGCTCGGATGGAATCCAATGGTCCCTCAATTCTAGCTATTGCCATTTAATGATATTATTTTTCCTTCAAATTTCGTATAACGTTGTTCAGCGTACTACAGTTGGTTATTCCAGGTTTGGATTACTAGATTACTGTTAAAAGTCCTTTTTTCAATTCGACTATATAAGCGCCATATTCATCGTTTGATAACTAAGTCAGATTTTCAAAGCACCTAGTATCGTTCATCGAAACTGCAATACGTACGCTAGTCAAACTTAACATACTAGTACACTTTCTCGACAAGAAATTACACCCAATAACTCTCAGTCAGATTGTTCCAAATTAAATAACTTTCTGTCGGAAATTAGTCAGTGGTCCTCTTCAAACGGTCTTAAGCTGAATCCGTCTAAATGTCAGGTAGTAAATTTCACTTTCAGACAAAAACGTGACCTACAACAACTAGCTAGCTCACATGGTCCGACTATCATTTACGGCATAGAGGTTGAAATTACATCTAATGTCAAGTATCTAGGACTTAGTATTTCCTCCGATCTTTCCTGGTCCTCTCACATCTTGCTAGTTACTAGAAAGATGTTTCGCTTAAGGTTCTACGTTAGGAAGTTAAGGCAGTCTGGTATAAAGCAGTCTTTGCTTCCTCAGTTTGTCAATTCTTGTATTCTAACCATCCCTCTTTACTGCTCCCCATTAACCTTTCCTGGACTACTTAATAAAGATTTTGCTTTGCTGCGTACGGCACTAAAAGCTGTTAGTAGGGCAAGTGGGATTTCATTAAACCAACTGGTTAACACTATTGTGGATAGACATATAATGTCATGTAAGAAACTAGCGAATACTATATTGTCAGATCCCGAACATCCTCTCTATACGCCGCTCTCTCCTTGCATTTCATCTGGTAGAACTAGAAGCAACTATAGGAGGCTATATTGTAGGACTACCAAGTACAAAAATTCCACAATACCTTATCTGGCACAGCTGTTATGTGATGAGAAATCCGTTAGGTATGACACGATCAACTTACTGCGGCACTCTAACAAATAGTTCCCATTAGTTTTTGTTTTCCTTTCTGTGTTACTATTATATTGTTGTTCACATCTTCTATTACACACTAATTTTATATTTCATATTCCTGTGGTGCATTGTTTAAATATGTGAATGCAACGCTGTTCTTTTTTATTTCTTTTCATTTATCTTTTTTTCTTTTTGTTGTTGTTGCTTTCTGATTTTAAAATCTTGTAAAATTTATGAGGTAATTAGATGCAATATTGTAATGCACGCTAGAAATTCCATACCTGTACCACAAATACTGTTTGGAATAAAGCTGTTATTATTATTATCTGCATTTATAGGATATGTGTATCAGGGTCATTCTAACATTTAGGCCCTGTTAAACTTAAACCATCCGGATATTTAACATCTAAATCTTCTGTATCAACTAACAATGTTGTGAATGACTTGATAATTACGTTTCTGTTTCATACTGGGCTAGAGTTAACAATGTAAACTTCTAAGATATGAACTGCAAATATATCCTATGATTCCATTAACAGCCTCTCTTTCTTACCTACTGAAAACCAGTAGTCATTTCCTATACGAAAAAAGATGACATTCTTAAATCCCCTTACACTTTGTCATTCATTCAACAGACTGCTGAATTATCTGAATTATTCTAATTGTATTCAATTGGTTTATGCTGCACTATCAACAAGACGTTTAATTTGAATGTTTCCTTCAACTAGTGAAAAACTGGAAACAGTGACTGTGCGGAAAAAATCACTATTTATTAAGTTATAACGTAATGGTGATGCATCAAGTGAAATTGTGTTTCAGAAACTACCGTGAACGATTAGGATGACATATTATGTGTGTGGCGAATGCTTATCTGTCATCTTGCAGTCAAACGATGGTGATAACTCAAACGAAGAATAGGCTAGTTGGTTTCACCTCATCTATATGTGCTTATCACTTGAACTACTCCTGTGAAATCACTTGTATTCGACGTATAAGTAGAGAGAGAGGCTTAGCCAACAATTTTACAAGATACTTTCAATCTTGGCTGGATGAAACCGAAGCTCCATTTCATTTTACCAGGCTGATGCTGTTTAGTTAAAAGGAAGATTTATCACATCCCATTTGATCTTTCTAGTAGTCTTTGTATTCCTTTAGTGTAAATAAGTGATGGCATTAACATTCGAACAAATTATCTTAAACTATATTCCAACTAATTATACTTGTATATATTTTTAATCCTCTTCCTACTACTTTTTGTCAACAACTTCATGGTCTTATAACATCTTCATTCAAACTTTGCTTATCTAATTCCTTCACTATTTAGCAATTTTTTTTTCTTTCACGTTCCCCAGTGGAACATAGGACTTCAAGCTAGTGGCTTGAAGTTTCTGTAGCAGTGTTTATTTTACAGGATTGGGTTGCTAGCTTCATACCCAACCTTTCCTCTTCACCAGCATTATTTCTGGCTTAGAGAGATAAAGGAGTGCGTCGGTCAGGGATAGAACCCCGGACCATGTGCATGGTCGGCGAGCGTTCTAACCGCTATGCCACCAACGCGCCACTATTTAGCAATACACAACTTTATTTCAAGTATCATCAAGAGTTGACATCAGTTAGAGAATCATTGGAAAACCAGGGAGTAGTGGACAGCTGTTGCGCCCCAAGATTGTGACTTCTCAGAGGCACGCACCCACCGAGGTTAGAACCTTGGACCTTCCAGTTACAAGGCAAGCTCGCAGACCATTCAGCCACTGGCACCTAATCCAATGGTCCATGATTTCTGAATTTTACCAATTCGTGATTTTAGCACAACCACCAGCCGATGTCACTAGTGGGTATTTGTCCTTACGACCGACCTAGTGGACCCCACTGGTCATGACTCCTCATCAGAATTCCAGAAAAGTTCGTCCTATAACCAGCCACTAGCAAGCATCATAGTTTGTAGGGATTCGATTTGTTTGAAGTTATTATTATTATTAATTTTTCTAGTCTGTGGTCCACTATGCCTGTTTGGGAATCGGCCTAAATAAGCATGCTGTTTTCAACATTGTTATCATTGCACATCTTCCAATTGTTCAATTATTATTATTACCATTGCTATCAATACTATAAGTAGTTGCACAATTTTTATAACCACCTTATCATCCCAATAACCATCGGCTTATCCTTAATATCTGTATGTAAAGTTACATATATTGCAGTAGAGCTTGAGGAGATCTAGTTAAAAAGACCACTCTTTGTTTATACGTTTAGTTTATATACATAGTTCACTTCTCTTGACAATAGAATTAATCGGCTCTGATAGTTTTTATCCTGCTGAAAATAATACTTAGTTAATAAGTAGTCAATAAATTTAACAATTCAAAAGAATATATATTTTTGTTCACTCAAAGGTTCACTTACTTGTATTCATCAATTCAGCTCTTTGTTGGGCTTTTAACCAAGATGCCTCAGCTGCTGGATGGTTTAAATGTTGCATATCTGAATGACTATTGATGAGGAATTCTTTATTATGATGATGACTAAAAACTGTTGGATCATTTATTGGATAGGCAAGGTGAACGAATTCTCCGTTTTTATCACTTTCTAATAAAATTGAATGATTTAAATCTGTAGCATTGGTAACACTAAGGTGTTTTCGAATACGATGTTGACTTTTTAAGTCATCAGGAGATAAGAGACGCTTAGATGATGGATGACCAATTCCTGCAGACTTTGTCACCATAAATTGTGACAAACAATTAGGTCTAACCGCCTTTGCATTTTGTTCTTGAATGATGGTAGATTTCTTTGATTGTTGTGTTCCTTTGACAGAATCTATTGAATCGATATTCTGAGAATTGGACTTTTCTGATGGATGATGGGAGGAGATTGGTAACTGAGAATTCGCCCAAATCACATTTCTATCAGGGAATGATAAAGATGAACTTATTGTTGAGGGCTGTGATTTACTACTCAATGATTCAGTCATTTTCATTTCATCTGTTCGACAAGATTTCATTGGTGTAGACGAAGAAGATGATGTGACTGGTGGAGTAGTATCTTCTTGGTTAAAATCCCATGGGACAACAGATCTACCATCTGGTGGATATTTTATTAAATTTCTGTTGTTTTCATCAATCTTTGTGCACGCTGAGGTGGTTGGTACTTTTGATTCTGATGGCACAGAATGACTTTTTGAACGATGTTTAGATGGATCTGACTTATTATCTTTAACAGAATCTTGTATGACAGATGAATTTGAAGTTTGATCTAACTGATTTGGAACATTTGGAATGTTGATTTTTCCAGCTGTTTGAGATACTGGCAATATGGGAGAGACAGATGATGCACTAACAGGTTCATTTGACTTCGTGGTGTTTAAATTTTCGCTGGTAATAGGCTTTTGAACTTGCTCAGAAGTGACCTGCAATAAGAGAAAATGGAATTCTTTGTATTTTCAAATACAAATACTATGAAGTGAAGATTTGTATCAATTTTTTAGAATAAAATTAATCAAGATGAGTAGTGAAATTCTGTAGTTTAAATGGTGAAAACACATATTTCACGAACTCGAGCCAGGCTACTGAATTTCATTTAGAGTGTACCTTACCACTTGGATGTCATTAACAGATCTGTATCAGTTTATATGTGTATATTATTATTTAGTATTCATTCCTAACCTCGAGGGAACATATGGTGTCTATGACAGATTTATAAGTGTAGATTCATAGGAAGAGGTCAAATGAATTAACATTTAAGTCAATGGTTGCAGAGAGATAGAAATGTTTATTCCTCTAAATCTGGATCTAGCTACGTTGTGGACATGAAATAATCTCATTGGACAAATTTTCGTCGTATTGTTTTACCTTCGTTGCCAACCAATCAGAACGATTTATTCTCGTCTGACCTAGTCGAATTTTAATATAGCTAAAATTGTAAGAATATGATGTGCTTTTCCTTAGCAAAAGGTCCATTACCAGTCCTCTTAACTTCTCAATGGCACAAAGCGAGAAAGCGTTAGAAATTTGATAAGGTTAAAATTGATATAGAGTGAGACGAAAGGTAGTTGAGTGTCCATTTAACAAATGCGAAGAGAGTGAGAAAATGTACAAAAGGAACATGTGAGAGTGATAACAGTGAATTAATTATTAAATTAAAAGCAAAGTAATCATTAAAAATAAAAAAATAAAAATTTACAGGGAACGACTAATGAAGAGATTAGAATAGGAGACTGGACAATTTTTTTCTGTATACAGAGTTTAGGGTTGTATTGACGAATTGCCAACACCTCCGCCATACACAAATGCCAAAACCTGACGCTCTTTGTACCAGTCTTATCCCAGTTTGTCCAGTCTCTTATTCTAACATGGTCTTAACCTCTTCGTTAGTCGTTCCCTGTAATTTTCTATTTTTATTTTAATGATTAGTTTGCTTTTATATTAATAATTAATTCACTATTATCACTCTCACATGTTCCTTTTGTATATTTTCTCACCCTCTTCGCATTTGTTAAATGGACACTCAACTACCTTTCGTCTCACTCTATATCAATTTTAACCTTATCAAATTTCTAACGCTTTCTCGCTTTGTGCAGTTGAGTATTGCGTTTTTCTTATTCCTTTACGTTCCTAGTGGAACATAGGGCTTCAAGCTAGAGACTTAAAGTTTCTGTAGCAGTGGTGATTATTTTTACAGGATAAGGTTGCTAGTTTCATGCCCAACCTTCCCTCTTTACCAGTCTTATTACTGTCTTAGCGAGGTGTAGGAGTGCGTCTGCAGCCGGGAATCGAACGCCGGACCACTTGCGTGGTCGGCGAGCATTCTAACGCTGTGCCACCGAAGCTGAGTATTGCGTAATTTAGAACTTTTATTCTTACTTTTGAAGAAACTTCTGAGTAATTATCTCCTATCTTCTACTGTCACAAACATAAGGTTTCAGGGGTACACCTACATTAGATTCGATTCTCTGTCATCATTTTCAACCGGCTGTACGATTGACCACAGTCTTTCACTCTTCAAACGATCTTCATATTAACATCAATTCCTCAGTAACATCTGTCTGTCTGTTTTCGACATAGAACTTTGCACATATGTGCGGCAGTTCAAGTCGCCACACTCCCTCCATGTAGCACACAAAGCAAGAGAAGAAAGTAGGAGAAATGCATATTAGAGACAGTAAACAGAGGTGTGAGACAAAGGAATAGTAATAACGAAGAACAAAATAGTTTCATTGGAAATCATAAGTCACAAGGAGTGGATGCATCTGCGCCAGCCATTGAGAACGATTTTGAGCCATGTCACCAATTGTTTCCAACCATTGGTTTTTACCGTCCTGAGGACCCCAACCAGGAAGTCTACACCTTCCTACGTGGCTTAGACTAACTGTTGTAGATTTCATTGACTGGTGCCATGTTTTGGTTTGACTGCCGCTAGCTCTTTTCCAGTCTGACCCTATATCAGCTAACATTGCCCGTCGAGGAAGGCGATGACTAGGCATACGTAACACATGTCCTAACCATCTCAGTCGATGTAATTTCACAGTCTCGTCGATTGATTTCCCCTCCTTACCTAGCACTCGACGCCTAACCTCAATATTGCTCACCTTATTATACCACTTCACACGGGAGATAGAACGCAGACACCTATGATCAAAGACAGCTAGCTGGCCTTTCATGTCTTCCACTCTCAATGGCCAGGTCTCACAGCCATAAAGGAGGACGGAGCGGACTGATGAGCAGTACACACGCCCTTTGGTCGATAGTCGGATATCACGTCTACGCCAGAGACGGCGTAAACTGGCATATGCGAAACTAGCCCTCTGTATCCGTGCTGAGATTTCGTCAGAGATCAACCCGTTGGGGCTGATGGTACTTCCCAAGTAAGTGAAGCGGTCAACGTGCTCTACCACTTCACTTCCTATTTCTAATCTAGGAGTCGGTGTAGTCCAATCCTGTAACATCATCTTGCATTTGGCGGGAGCGAATCGCATGCCAAACATTCGTAGATTGCAGCTCAAGGTGTTCAGAAGACATAATATCTGAAGTGTGATAAGTAAAAGAACTACACTGGTAATTAATGAAAATAACTACATCATAAAACAGTGAAAGTTAGAACAGGTGGTTACATAATGCAGAACTTCTGGATATTGAACAACAGAAAATTGATATTAACAAAAGCATTCCATTTCTAATTTTAATTTTGTTTGAAGGGTGTGTCTTTTAAATAAAGCAGGATAAGTTGAATTTGTCTGTTTAGAAAAAAACTGCACAGTTACTGTCTTTGCCATGATCATTCTCATAGCTTACCCCGATAAACAACATAAATTCTTGTAAATTATTTAATAATTTAATTCAAGAGTCATGTATTCTACCTAAAGGTTTCATGTAATAAATTAGAAAAAACATGGTCATAACTAAAGTGAACACTAAAGTAAGCACTCGGCATGATTTAACGCATTCAATTAATAACGGGATATTATTGCATAGTATGGTGAATGAACATTTACGATATATCTTAGATTATCTACTGACCTTACACCAATAAGCGATTTAATCAACTAGTACTTTCGTTAAGGTAGAAGGCTAGATGTTTCATGAGGAATGAGTCTGATCCGCCATTTAGAAAGTTTAGTTATATCCACAGTAGTTTCTCATATGTGTTTATTAACTTTATTCATGTATTTTCAAAAATAGAACTTTCCAAAGGCGAATAAATTTCCTTGAAAAGCAACTTAATAGGGCTATATTTATATAAGTCCATTAGCAGCCATATAAAATGAGTGGAGTAATAAAATATAATATCAGTCACAGGGACCCACAATGTGCGTCGGTGGTACAATGGTAGAGTGCTCGCCGACCACGCAGGTGGTTCCGGGTTCGATCCCCGGCCACAGACGCACTCCTTTACCTCACTAAGCTAGTAGTAAGACTGGTAAAGAGGGAAGGTTGGGCATGAGGCTAGCAACCCATCCTGTAAAAATAAATACCACTGCTATAGAAACTTCAAGCCTCTAGCTTGAAACCCTATGCTCCACTGGGAACGTAAAGGAATAAAAAATAAACAGGGACCCATAAAGTTTGTGTGACTGTTTTAATGTAAGTAAAAATGAATAAAACATCAAAACTTAATATAGACAGAAAGCCATACATGATGCAACTTTTCATACTGCCTGGCACAACTTAGAAGGGCATCTCTGAAACTTTGAGAATACTTAATTTTCCTCTCAGATTCGAATCTGTATCAATTACCGTAGTTCAAAAAGTCTCTAACTTTGGAAATGAGCATCGTAGACTTCAATCTCAAAGAAATATGATTTCCCACAAAGTTGTGAATACGTCTTCTCAATGAATGCAAGCATTCATGAATCTCAGATCATGCCAATTGAAACCTAATGTCTTAGATGAGAAATTCGTTAACTACGGTGCACAGTACTACCATACTGCTTAGCTCAGTGACCACATTTCATACTTTATCTATAAGTGCTTACAAACAGTCACATTGATTACTATAAGAGAATGTGTCCCACCAGAATGAGTATTTGGTATCAGATAATTCACTAAAGATTATTAAAAACTTTTTATTCCTTTAGCCTCCCAGTGGAACATAGGGATTCAAGCTAGAGTTATGAAGTTTCTGTAGTGGTGGTATTTATTTTTACGGAATGGAATTGCAAGCCTGATGCCCAACCTTCCCTCTTTATCAGTCTTATCACTAGCTAAGTGAGGTGAAGGATTTCGTCGGCTGGGGGTCAAACCCCGGACCACACGTGTGGCTGATGAGCATTCTACCGCTGTGCCACCGAAGCTCACTATAAATGGAAATATGTATTTAAAATGAAAGAAAAAGTGAAATCAAATAGTTGAAAACTTCTATCATTCCATTAGGTAATTTCAAAAGTAAGTAGTTTACAATAAATATTTGACAGCTCAAATATTTGTTGCTACTAAAAGCCCAGAGTTAGATAAAGTCCATCTAACAGACTGTACACTTTGATTGGACACTAGTCAGTAACTAGTGTAATGTGTATATCTAGTCCTATCTTTGGCCACATTGCAAACGTGACTGATAAAATTCAGTCTGCACGAAAGATAGGACTAGAAATACACCATACACTAGTTACTGACTAGTGTCCAATCAAAAATACCCAATACAGTCCTACAGGAAGTCAATCGTGAGCCTGAATAGCTCAGTGGTAACGTCTCTGACTGTAGTACTCACTGGGTGATGCGGGTTCGAATCTCAGAAGGAATATGAGTAGTTCCTTCGAGGTTGCCTTGCTGACGGGTGAGTGCCAACTAGCACGAAATCTAGGTGCAGTCAAGGCTTCCTTCCGATTGCCTCCAACCATCTAATACCAACAAGACTGTACACTTTAGGTAGAAATCTAGACGCCACTGTAAAGAGTGTCAAGGTTTAATTTATTAA